TTTTTTGCATCTTGCTTCAAGGAGAGTTAAGTCAAACTGAATGTCTTAACTTATTGCAATGACATTTCAGAAATTAAATCTTGAACAACATAACCATGTCATATAACCACAGAGGCATTTGTGAGGCGCAGAGGGCTTTTCTACCTTTACCTACCATATTATCTTCTCCTGATCCTGCTTCCTCAGGTAGCGTTAATATAGACATTGTATCTTTCTCATTTTATATGCTGTTTCTTCAAGTCTTCGTTAGTTCTTGCCAGTCTCCGAGAAGTATCACAGATACTCAATCCTAGAGAGTTCTGTGACTTCCAATCTGCTTCCCAAAGGAGGCATGAGCCTTGGCTCTGTCCACCACAGTTTCAATCTTGGGGGGTTTTTTAACTATTAATGCATCCTGCCATGAGAAGGGGACATCGACAGTATATAACTCAATTGATTTAGTATCTTACATTCTTTTTAAAACTTGTTTTGCTTCGCATGTGCCTGCAAAAAACAAGAAAATATTGTTGATGAATGAATTATAAGAAATAGGTGCCTCTTCCTGGAAGAGGAGCATTGAGCATAACTCTACAAGGAACTGGAAAATAAAGAGGAAAGCATGCTAAGATCAAATTCATTTTCATAAGACTTCACATTCTTTTCATCTACTTCTTTGATCCTCCCGATATTTAACTCTCTTTTCTATTCCTACTCATGAGGCTTGTTTCTCCTCCTGAAACCCGTTACCTTTGTTCCCCTTCGCATGAGGATGATATACAGTCATAGCTGCACCTGTAATCTCCCACCACTCCACCCTTCCACTTTGTGTGTGGTGTTTTTTCTTTGTTTAGCCAGGCCTTGGACAAAAAGTTCCAAGTCAATAGTTGTAGGGAGAGTGTGTGAGGCATTACCTGAGAGGAGAGTAAGCTACTTATTTTTTTTTTTCCTTTTTAAAATTTATTTTTTGTTATCAAAGAGAATGTCCAGAAACATTACATACTAGAAAAGAATTGTCATGGCATTGTGTCGAGGCCTGCTTACAGGATGGAGATGAACACAGACACAAAACAAAAACACAGAACACAAAGAGAAAATCGACACACATATAAAGATGGTTGACTCGATAATAAGGTATACGCAGTCGATTTATTTTATATTTAAAAATTACAGTTAGTTCATAGGCCGGGCGCGGTGGCTCACGCCTGTAATCCTAGCACTCTGGAGCCGAGGCAGCGGATGCTCGAGGTCAGGAGTTGAAACCAGCCTGAGCAAGAGCAAGAGCCATCTCTACTATAAATAGAAAGAAATTAATTGGCCAACTAATATATATAGAAAAAATTAGCCGGCGATGGTGGGCATGCCTGTAGTCCCAGCTACTTGGGAGGCTGAGGCAGCAGGATTGCTTGAGCCCAGGTTTGACTCAAGGTTTTCAGGTGGTTGCTCTAGGCGCCAGACATAGATCACGGACCAAGATTAGCAAGGATGGGCAAGGCAGCCACAGAGGGCATTTTTTGTCCCCAGTTTCTCTTAGGGTGATCTCCTAAGATCTTAGGCTGATCCCCGGCGGCTGTACCTGGCTTAGGTTGCCCCTCCCTTGAGGGGTCTTACCCGTCATTGACTAACCAGCCATCTTATGGGGCTCAAGCAGCAATCATAGGAACAATATATTTATCGTGTGGCCTCCAGACTATCGTGTGGCCATTACTAAAATGCCTGGGTGGTTATGTATATAGAACTAACTTTTTTTTATTTTATTTTTATTTATTTATTTATTTATTTATTTATTTATTTTGAGACAGAGTCTCGCTTTGTTGCCCAGGCTAGAGTGAGTGCCGTAGCATCAGCCTAGCTCACAGCAACCTCAAACTCCTGGCTCAAGCAAGCCTCCTGCCTCGCCTACCGAGTAGCTGACTACAGCATGCGGCCACCAATGCCGGCTAATTTTAGTTATATATATTATTGCCAATTTTATTACTTTTCTAAACCCACTTTAAGTAGAGCGGTAGTCTCACTCTTGCTCAGGCTGGTTTCGAGCTCCAGACCTCGAGCAATCCGCCCGCCTCGGCCTCCCAGAGTGCTAGGATTACAGGCGTGAGCCACCTGGCCTGGCCTAAATTTAATTCTTAAACCAGGAAAATATAATGTCAGTCCCCTACAGCATTGTTTTACAGAAGTTTCTAATGGAGAGTGAATCTTTTATTTTCTGATGTATCCTTCACTTACTAATGACGAGGTGGATGAACTGATGGAATTACTTAAAAAAAAAAATCCGGACAACCTTATAAAGGAAAAAACATCCATTCTCATTCTGCATTTGTTGGTGGGAGTGAATTCAGTGGTCACAGTAACACTGCTGACTAAGAATCAACTTCCCCTAAGTAGGGAGCTGTTCTGGACTTCTCAGTAGGTTCCAAAATAGGCACCATATTTGAAGTCTCACACAAAATGTCTGTTACTTAAATTACACAATGTGGCAGTGTTTTTTTTTTTATGGGGACATAATATTGAAAGAAGGGGCAAAGTAGAAAACAACCTTTTTGCATGTTATATGTGAGTATCTTATTGTACTGTGCATGGATTTGAGGGCATTTCAGCCCTTGTTAAAGAGGAATTCTACCAACTTAAGCCTCTGCTGCTCTTGGTGCTGAAGGTGTCTACTCATTGAACCACATGTTGTTAGGTCAGGACCTTCTTCATCTACTGTCTGGCTCAAATGGTTTCAACTGAGTTTGGTTGTCCATCTCCTTCCATTTGAACTTTTATTTCTCCACCTCAGGATATGTGGGGTACTTGACAGTTTCTATCTTTTCTCCGACTTTGTAGGAGAGATAGAGGCCCGTCCTTCCCAGTTTTCTGTTGACACCTTTAGGATAGCCATCCTAGTGATTTCCAGCCACACCAATAATATCTCCAGGTTCCATGAGGATTTCATCTGAAGTTCGAGGTTCATGAGGATAAATGGCAATCTGGTTGTGGGCATTTTGGCCCCCAAAATAGTAGATGTCATCTAAAGAATGGAAGTATGCAGAGGCATCAGGACGCAGTGTTTGCATGATTTCATAAGCAACTCGACAGACCTAGGATGAAAAAGTACACACTAAGAAATCTGCCTGAGAGAGAAAATGTATATCCAGGATCACACCCCTAAGTGAATTTTCTATATATCGATTATGTAGTCCAGCTGACTAAGAGAATTATCACTAATAAATTCATAATTGGGGTACCTCGTTTTGGCTTATTTTAATAAAGAAGGGTCATCCGTGGCCAAATATACTTTTCTTGTCTACTTGCAGTCTGCATGCAAGAAGCTGAAAATGTTCTTCAACATACATCATGTATTCCTCAATGGGATGGAAGGCAGCTTCTGTTCCCACTTTTGTCTGTGCATCTAACATGGCCCTCCAATAACTGGATGTTTGAAGCCAAGCTTCTTGGTGGCCTCTTCTATTTCTTTTTCTAGCCAAGGTTGTGGGTGAATCAAGTATTTGTCAAACTGGGACACCCACCACACTGCAGGATCACCATGGACATGTACAAGTCCATCTGCAAAGTCTTCTGGTACAGCCAAGGGTAGATAGGGAGGACGTGGATGAAGACTGTCTATGATAGGGAGCTTGACCACTTGAACATTTTTGTCTTTCACTTCACCTGACCAGTGTCCAGTGGAGATGCCAGATCTGTCTGTGTATGTCTCACTTACAGATCTAAACACAGTCTCCCATCTACCCATGGCAGAGCGACAGTTATGAGATTCCAAGATAAGTGTTTGCTGAGTGCCATACGCAATCATGAAGCAGTAGACTACATGATGGAGTTGACAGCCATAGCCACAGCCTTTGTTGATATTACACACTAGCTTCTTGGCTTTGCTGCAGTCCTTGGGATTCTGAAGATATGTTATTCTCCACTGGACCAGCTCTGTCAGATCTTTGGCCTTTTTTTCCTGCCAATCACCTGCTCCATCTGTCTGACTGAGGTAGTATAGATCCGTCATTATAGACCTTTCATGATGTCCTAAATCCATGTGCAAATCTTTGGAGTTCATTTCCTTCTAAGCTCTTTAATTTCTTCAGTTTACTCTATAGGAAAAACCAGAGCTCTTTAGCTCCATTTTCTATCCTCCTCCTCAGGATTTCATGATCCTTCTCCAGACCATTTCTGGTTTGTTTCTTGTAATTTTCAATCTGTTCTTTGGCCTTAACAAGGGCTCTTCTAAAACACATATCTTTCCTATAGCCGATCCTTGATTAATGGGACCTTCTGGTATCCAGAGAGATTCAGCCATTTGCCTCAAGTCTTCATTCTGCTGTTTTAAGTGTTCAAACTTTGCCAGAATCTTGGACAGTTCTTGGCTAGAGTGATCAGGGTGGTCATTATCTCGTACCAAGTGACCACCTATATAAAATAGCAAGGTCCCCGAGGCAAAAAGAATGTGCATAATCCAACACCAGGAACCAGTCCATGGCCACATTTTCAGATTTCAACTCACTCCCCTGGATTCCTGGAGCTCAAAGAATTGAAAACATTGTAACCCTGTTTGTAGTTAGTACACAGGTGAATAGACTTATGTTGTTTCAACACATGATGCTTCAAATGATTCTCTCTTATAGTCTGGTGGTGAATCTTTCAAAGAGATCCTTCTGGTGATATGAGTAGGAAGCTTTATTGTCCTGTGCTTCATGGACTCTACATGTTGTATTTCCAGTGACTTTGGAGGCTGAGGTGGGAGGATTACTTGAGCTCAGGAGTTTGAGGTTACAGAGAATTGTGATTGCACCACTGCATTCTAGCCTGGGTGACAGTGCAAGACCACATCTCTGAATTTGTTCAGTTAACCAATAAAGGCAATAAATCACTTGATCTTGAATGAAAATACCATCAGGGTCATGGATGCCCTCTTAGCAAAAGCAGGAACTATTCTTTGTCCAATTCAGTATGTAAGTGTTCAACTCTGTGTCTTTGGGTCTTCATTTCCTTATGAGGGCTCCTGTAGTCCCAGCTACTCGAGAGGCTGAGGCAGGAGGATTGCTTGAGCCCAAGAGTTTCAGGTTACTGTGAGCTAGGCTGACACCACAGCACTCTAGCCCAGGAAACAGAGTGAGACTTGTTCCTGGGCTCTTTTTACTTTCTCTTCTCACCCCAGCTGCTTGCCTCTTCCTCTCCGAGATTAGCTACTTCTCCCGCGGAGCCAAGTTCCTAAAATAGGGGTTGTCACAGAGGATAAGGAAATTGATAGGTAGGAAATAGAGACAATAAAAGAATACACAGAGACTAAGGTATAGTTTATAGTTTTATATTAAAAGATCAGATGTAACACAGTGGGGTACTCAGGAGGCTGGCGATCCCCATGAATGCAGCAATGTGGTTAGATTCATACAGGTTTTTATAATTAAAGACATCAATTACCAGTTGTCAGGGTAACATATTTGCATATCAGGGAATGCAGTTGCTAGGGGATACAGGTAGTGGGTTGTGGTCAAAAGTCCTCTCAAAGGGTTTCTAATCTATTTAGGTGAACAGGTACAAAGTCTTTCAGGGGCTAACTTCTAAGTTCTAAGAGGTAATTGTCAATTAACAAAAGAGGTATAGTGACTCTATATTTCTTTGATTAGTTATTATGGACTTAAAGGCAGACAGACAGGAGAGAGCAGGAACTCCATCTCTAATAAACAGGTTGTTTATAACCATAGGGGTGCATCTCAGTGCACTCATTGTCTCTGGCTCCCATCCTGTGGGCCATATTTGCTTTGTTTTGTTTTTCAAGACACAGGGAAGCTCACAGATTTTGAGATATTGGGAAGCCTCCCTGGAAAACATCCCTACCGGAGATTTAAGAGCTCTCCCATGATAGCAGCCTCTATTAAGTGAACCATTGAGTCCACACATTCCTGCAGGGTAAAACCCTGTAAATTCCTGTTTCTGTCTTTAATATAGTAATACAGGGGGATATAATAAAATAATGGTCTTATGAGCCACATCTCATTAATTCCTCAATCATATTTTCCCAACAAATAGTCACTAGGACAAGTATGTTAAATATTTTATCAGCTGGTGCCACAGTGCACTGGATGCCTAAGAAACAAACCATAATCATTTATATGGAGGTGGACAAGAAATTTTTTTAAAACGATGGATTCAAAGATTAAAGTGATGAGATTTTTCAAAATAAAGATTTACCATATAAGCATTAATAAAACACTATCCCTTGTATGTGGAAGGCAGTAATATATAAATATAGATAACATATATGAAGACTTCACTTGTATTTGAATTGTAAATATTCTGACACGTATATATGTGTTGACCTTTCTATACTATCATCCTCCATATCTACCCCTGAACTCCTATTTCTCAGTCCCTTTCCACTTTCACCTTTTGCCCTCTTCAAATTAAAGCCAGCTCCATACCAAATTCCTTAGCCTGTGATATGGTTGATTTCCCTTTCCAGCACACTTTAAGCATTAGTGATGGAATGCCTTGCTACAATCATCCTATTGTTCCCTGAAGGTATCAGGTCTAAGTAGCTCAGAGTATTTGATGCAAGAAATTAGACACTTCCAATAGGAGGACCACTTAATACTGACTGCAGAAACAAAGCTAGGTTTCTCAAACGATGGGTCACAGAAAAATCCAAGGAATAAGATCTGTTACCATCAGTATTCTCACTGTTCACACGTGTCCTAACAATGCATGAGCAAAACGAGAAAACATATGCTAGTGAGTTCCAGAATGTATAGCACTTTAAAAAGTGCTAACTATGCAGTTATGTTAAAAAAAAATCACATTGTAAATGTTAGGTTTATTGCAGGTGGAAACCCAAAAAGTATGTATAGGACAGAATGTGATTAACGCAAAACTTAGGATTGTAAAACAATAGCCACAGGAGTCTGGGGAGTCCCGACTTTGTAGATCTGGCAGAGGGCTGCAGCCAGCATTCCTTCCCCCTCCCTCCCTGATGGAGACCAAGGCTGTCCCTCCCTGGCTCTCCTGATAAGGACACCAGAACAGAAGAATGGATGGATTCGACTGGGGCAAAGGGGTAGCAGAAGTTGGTCATTGAAGAAGAATTTTCTACAAGCAGCTGTTCTGCCCACTGTCCTTTGCTGCACGTAGCAGGAAGCAATTCTTCATCTGCCAGTTTGGCCCAGAAACAAAGAACTGAACAGGGCAGGTGGGAGGGGGTAGGCTATCTCCATTTATAAAAACCCTCACTACTTGGGAGGCTGAAGCAGTAGGATCGCTGAGCCCAGGAGACTGAGGTTGCTGTGAGCCAGGCTGATGCCACGGCACTCACTCTAGCCTGGGCAAGAAAGTGAGACTCTGTCTCAAAAAAACAAAACAAAAAACCTTCACTAAACCCCCTTCTGTGCTGACTCTCTTTTCCGACTCAGGCCACCCACACCAGGGTGAATAAACCAGCCATGTAGCTCCAACACAGCCTGTGTGTGAAATGTGTCCTTTGGGTCATTTATTCACCCTTTCAGTAAATATTAATACATAGGAAGAAAAAGAGCGACATCTAAGTATGTAAATTGGGCTATTATTTTATAAAGAAAATAAAAGAATATCCCAAAATAATAGTAGCGATTATCTTTGAATGATGGAATTATAAGTGACTTGTTTTCTCCTTTGTTACTTCCCATGTTTCCCAAACTTTCTGTATTTACTGTCTTAATACTTACTTTATAAACATCACAAGTTTGGGGACACCCTTGCGGTCCCACATGCGGTGTTGCTGGACACCATGTATGACTCCAATATGTCCAGAAACCACTGTGGTCACTCAGTGGGCCAAGTGGCAATCTAGCAGCAACTCGAGGTCTGCAAGAGGTTAGTGCTAGAGCATTACCCACCTCATTGGTTCATTTAGTTTGGGGAAACCTCAACAATTACCCAATTTAGTCAAATTATTTAGGTTTTCCCCTTGAACCAAAAGGGATCTCTAGAAATGCACAAGGAACTACTTAACATCCTCTAGATCTTCAACACCATCTCAATCACATAGTAGAGATCTGTCAGACTAGGGGCAAACAAGAATGAGCAATGGGCGCTATAATCCTCACGAGCAGGGAGAGCAAGAGGGGGTCCGAGCTGACCAGCAGGTAGGGCTCCAGTTAGGCAGCCCGCAGACTCGAAATCCCTGGAGGGCAGGTCCCGGGGCGGCTTCTTCTTACTTGTGTTTGTTTTTGCTTTTGCTTTTGCTCTTGCTTTTCTTTTTGTCTTTTCCCTTCGCCGGCATCTTGGCTTCTTCAGCCTGACGGCCGTGGTGGCTGCTCAGCCGCCGCAGCCACCGCAGCCCGGGCCGGTTCGGTCTCTAAGGAAACCTGCACGCCAAGCCGGTAACGTCCCGCCCGGACGGTTGCCTGCGCGCGGACAGCGCACGCGCCCGTGACGTGGCCCAGGCGCCGCCGCGCGAGCCCGGGCCGCGGGGGGCGGGGCGGAGGTCGCGCCGAGGGCGGCGGGCGGCCGCGGCGGGGTGGCCCGCGCGCGGTGAGTGTGCGAGCAGCGGCGGCGCCCGAGCCAACCCCGGGCCCTGGCTGGGCGGGCGGGGAGGCGGGAGTGGGCCAGCCCTGGGCGGCGGCGCGGCGTCCAGCAAGGCCAGCCGGTGCGGCTGGTGAGGCGCCCTCACCTCAGGAGGCTTAGTTCCCCGCGGGTCCGCCCGTTCCCGGTCGTCCAACCGCAGCGGTTTTGCAGCGTTTCCCGTCTCATTCGCGGGTCGCGTCCTCCCTTCCCTCCACGCCGCAGCCAGCGTGGCCGCAGCTGCCTCACCCTCGCCTCGCCTCTGCCGCTCCGGGCACTGTCCGGCTCTTTTGCTTTTAGTCTCCCTTTCCTGGCTTCTAACTCTTGCTGATTCTGTAAGGGGTAGCGCAGCTAATGGACGTGCCAGGCCAAACGTTTTTTGATAGGCAGTTGAGGACTTTCCCAAGGGCGGCGGGTGGAGGGCGAGGCTGCCAGCCTCCTAAAGCCAGCGCGCACGGACCCCCAGGAGCCTGGCGCTGCCATCGGGTCGGAAGGAGGGTCCTCGGCCCCACTCTGTGCTGTGTGGCGGACTCTTCCCGCCCAAAACCGGCCCCCAGGTTCCCATTCGCTAACAGCTCACACTTCCACAGTCCCGTTTTTTTTTTTAGTTTTTTTGTGTTTTTTTTAGCAAGTTGTATAAAGTTGAAAGCTCTTGTTTTGTTTTTTGTTTTAATTCCAAATATACCTCTTAAAAGGAATGTACTCAATAGTATTCTAATTTGTTGGAGGAGGAGCTCTGATTATGCCTTCAGTCAATGAGAGTCAGCGGGTGAGTCATTGAGGAGATACGGTATTCTGAGTGCCAAGCCAGTAGTTGAGAGACTGGTGGTTGAAGTTCTGCTCTGCCTTCAAATTAAACTTAAAATTTCTTTAAAATATCGTTGATCCTCCTGCATGTTTCTAGGTAGAACTTAATTCCTACACCCCTTCCCGAAGTCTTTGACCTCTAATTTTTCCCCTTGCCTTTTATTTCCCAGTTAAGTGGTCTGCGTTTCTGAATTCTATGATTAGAGGAAACATGCTGATTTGGTAATGAGCCCTGAAAACCTTTTTGAACATACCATCTGCTGGCATGATGGTGGCTTATTCTTACTGTATTTCTAGTGCATTTTCCTCTCTATTTGTATGTCACACTCCTTTGGGTCCGTAGATGGAATTACCATACATTTATTGAAGGGGTTACCTCTGATATGCAATCTATAAAGTTGCAATTAATTTTGCATGTTTAAGATTCTAAAAATGTACCCTGTTGGTAACTTATAGAAAAGAAAGAGTAGGGGATCTTCTGTCACAGGCTATACCTTTGAAATTTATTCTAAAAATTGGTTACTTTATAATATCAAAGTCCAGGGTTTTTCTTATTTGAATACAGGCCTACAGATTCATTTATAAACATAAAAAAATTGGCTGTAACAAGATTACTAATAGAGTATCTTAGTTACAGTGTTTTGTAGTTTATTGTGTCATACTTTTTTTTATTGACTAAGTTTGATTTTGTAGGTAAAACTTTTTACATGAATATGGCTAAGAGAAATGCTAAGATTTCATACTTTGGTAGAGGTAGTTCTAGAATCTACAGCAGGGGTCCTCAAACTTTTTAAACAGGGGGCCAGTTCACTGTCCCTCAGACCGTTGGAGAGTGCGCGTTGTGGGCTAGGGATGGCTGCTAAGCAGGACAGGCAGCAGTGGCAAAAAAAACCTGGCAGGCTGGATAAATGTCCTAGGCGGGCGGCATGTGGCCCTCGGGCTGTAGTTTGAGGACGCCTGATCTACAGTCTTCTGAATCGCCAGGTTCTCTACCAAAGAACTTTTCAGTCATCTGTTGGTACAAATAATATGGTAGGAAGTTGCTATTTACCAATTCATCTGATAGCATTTCCTTCACAATTGCTGGTAGATAGCTTTACTGGGAAGTTTCAGGGGTTATTTTGCTGAATAAATTTGATTTGTTTCATTGTTTTTAAACTTGAAATAAGCCACTTAGTGTTTTGTTGATTTGGTTTTGTAATTCTTTTCCTCCCTAGTTTTCCTAGTTCGTGCATGATCAGCAAAGAAATATGGAGTATCTTGGCTGAATCGTCACACAGACAAGAACATTATGGTCCTGGTAGGTAGAGCAAATATCCAGATGTAAGATAACATCTCTGCTAGCTTAAAGTTGTAACTGTAATTCATGTGCTTCTCAGCGGTGGTTTTGTGGGGTTTTTGTTTTCTGAATTTGATTCTCTTTTGCCAAATGATGCTAATTTTTCTCTTTTCCATTGATCGTAGTTGCATCAAGTGTGGAGTTGTTATAGAGCTATTGTTATATAGAGCTATATATAGAATTTAGGACTATTATGTATCAACATAGATAGTATTTCTAATTTTTTCTTCTAGTAGTTCTAAAACTAGGTTTACTTTGTGAAATCATATGGCTTTATTCTGGTTTATCTTGGAGAACAAGTTTCTCCTCATAAATCATCCTTGAAATCAAGTAATGGCAGATGCAGCTCTATAGGTGGAAGAGACTAGGTGAACAACTTTAGATTTTGTTTTTACACAGCCTTTGGAATCCTGTATAAATATATTATTTTTCAAACTATCTGAAGGGACTGATCAATGTCTCTGAATATCATGGAAGGTAGTTACTTCATCCTACTTTTTTATTGCATGTGCTACAAATACAGAATTCCATTAAATAGATATTGGATATGAATGGGCATTTATTGAAACCTTAAAATCTGTACCCCCATAATATGCCAAAATAAAAAAAAATTTAAAAAAAAAATAGATATTGTATATGATATTAAGACTAGTTTACATCCCTGCAGGGGCGTTATAAGAAGTCATGAAGGTCAAGGATTTAATCTTACCAATTTTAGATCAATTTTTAACATTCACAGTTTTATTTATATACAAGATGTTAATAATATACTATATATACACAATAGTTAATAATTATTAACTATTGGCAGTTTATTTGCAAAATATCCCATTTTTATTAGTTGTCCATGCTGACAAATTCTCAGGCTGGACTCGGTGGCTCACACATATAATCCTAGCACTCTGGGAGGCCAAGGTGGAAGGATCAGTTGAGGTCAGGAATTGGAGACCAGCCTGAGCAAGAGCAAGACACCTGTGTCTACCAAAAGGAGGAAAAATTAGCCAGGTGTGGTGGCACACACCTGTAGTCCCAGCTACTCAGGAAGCTGAAGCAGGAGGATTGCTTGAGCCCAGGAGTTTGAGAGTGCAATGAACTATGATGATGCCACTGCACTCTACCCAGGCCAACAGTGAGACTCAAAAGTAAAAGTTCTGTAACAAAAATAACATACCCAAATTTCAGGCCCACTTGTCTGTACTGTTTTTTTTTGTTTTTTTTTTGAGACAGAGTCTCACTTTGTTGCCCAGGCTAGAATGAGTGCCATGGCATCAGCAGAGCTCACAGCAACCTCAAACTCCTGGGCTCAAGCAATCCTGCTGCCTCAGCCTCCCAAGTAGCTGGGACTACAGGCATGCGCCACCATGCCCGGCTAATTTTTTCTATACATATTAGTTGGCCAATTAATTTCTTTCTATTTTTGGTAGAGTCGGGGTCTTGATCAGGCTGGTTTCGAACTTCTGACCTTGAGCAATCCGCCCGCCTCAGCCTCCCAGAGTGCTAGGATTACAGGCATGAGCCACCGCACCCAGCCCTGTCTGTACTTTCATATCATGGATCTCAACCATTCATTCATTCAAGAAATGTATAGTGAGTACTAACTGTATACTGGGCTCTCTGATAGCGTGAGGGGCACAGTTGGGGATAGAAGAGGGCCACTGCCCTCAAGTTGCTTACAGTTAGGTATAGAAGGCTCTGACCCAGACATTCATCTCTGGGAATACACAACCTCATTGGCACCTATACACAAACAGTTAATATACCAAGCAGTGATTGATAAAGAGGAGATGACATAGACCTTAAGTGCTAGAGGAATTTGGAGGCATTTAAGACTGTCATAGTAAGCCAAAGTTTACAGAAGGTGGACTCAATGGAGAGGGAAGGTAGAACAATGTGAGCAAAATTCAGAATGTGCTTGAGATAAGTAGTTTAATTAGGCTGGGCAAGGTCCACACCTATAATCCCAGCACTTTGGGAGGGGACGCTTGAGGCCAGAAGTTCAAGGTTATAGTGAGCTATGATTGCATCATTGTACTCTAGCCTTGGTGACAGCAACAAGACCTGTAGTCTATAAAAAAACCCAAAAAAAGTAGTTTAACTAGAGCAGTGATTCCTAAAGTGTGGTCCGCAGACCGGCTGCATCAACATCCATGGTAACTTATTTATTATGAATGCAGTTTCACAGGCCTCCCCTGAGACTTACTGAATCAGAACTGCTGGCAATGAGGCCCAGCAATCTATGTTTTAACAAGGCCCCCCAGGTGGTTCTGATGCATGCTAAAGTGTGAGAATCACTAGACCAGAGCAGAGGATTATTGAATGGAAGTGGCAGGCAAAAAACCTGGAAATTTGTAGGCTGGGAACTCATAGTAAAGGACTTAGAATGTTAGGCAAGGAATTTGTCTTTTATCCTGCAGACTAGAGTCACCAACTTGTGACTGGAAGGCTAGATTTGGCCCATAGATGTGTTTTGTTTGGCCTGCATAGTGGTTTTTTGGGTTTTAAGTGGAATTTATTGTCACCCTTTAAAAAACAGCAGATTTTACAAAGAAATCTATACTTTCAGCTTATCTTGAAAAATCAGAAGACCTGGCAATATGGGGCTTACATTCCATTGTGGCAGCAATTGGTGGGAACAGCAATTCCCAGTGGTGGGAACCTGTCCTCTCCAGTTTGCCACAGTCCCCACTACTTCCTGTTTTACAGATACCTTTATTCATTTACATTTCCTATCTAGCCCCTGTAAGGTTCTTGAGTTTGCACTTTCTGTTGTGCATAGTGGGACATTGATGAAAGTTTTGAGAAGGAGACTGATGAGATTTATATATTCATTAATTAATTCAACAAGCATTGTTATATACTATATAACAGATTGTACTGTGCCTAAGTAATTAGTATTCAAAGGTAAATGAATCCCTGCAATGATGTGGCTTACCATTTAGTGGGAAAATGATGAAAACAGCATTTTTAGGAAGACAACTGTGTATAGATTTAAGAAAAGAGACATTGGTTACTAGAGTTCAAGTCTGAATTATTACTATTATAGGCCTGAATTTAGATATCAGCAGGGAGACTAGGAAGACAAAAAGGAAGGGATGGAAAAGATATTGCAAAGGCATAATTGTCAAGTTCTTTTTTGTTTTGTGTTGTTTTTGAGACGGGGTCCTGCTATGCTGCCCAGGCTGGCCTCAAACTCCTGGACTCAAGATACTGCTACCTCAGTCTCCTGAATAGCTGGAACTGCAGACAAGAACTACTGTGCCCTGCTCCATCAGTTCTTGATATTATGACAGATTGGAATGTAGAAGGCATGAGAGAAGATAATTCAAAGATAATAAAGATTTTGAGTTGTGTATTAGGAAACTTGTAGGACCACTAAAGAAACAGATTAGGAAGAGAATCCATTTAACATACTCTGTGTGTGTATGTGTGTAGGGGCAAAGGAAGGGGGAGCTTTAGAGATACCAGTTTGACATGTCTCTTGAGTTCAGTTTATTGGCATACATACAATTCAAGTGTTTTTAAAGGGAAAACTTAATAGAAATGTCAAGATTGGGTCAGGTGTAGCTCACGCTTGTAATCCTAGCACTCTGGGAGGCTGAGGCACGAGGATCACTTGAGGTCAGGAGTTTGAGACCAGCAAGAACAAGGCTCCTCTCCACTCAAAATAGAGGAAAAAAAAATTAGCGAAGCAACTGATAATAGAAAAAATTAGCTGGGCATGGTGGCACGTGTCTGTAGTCCTAGCTACTCAGGAGACTAAGGCAGGAGGATTGTTTGAGGTTGCTGTGAGCTAAGCTGATGCCACTGCACTCTGGTCTAGGCAGCAGAGTGAGACTCTGTCTCAAAAAAAAAACAAAAACAAAAATAAAACAAAACAAAATTGCATGCTTAGGAGTACATAGCACTCATTCCATCCTAGGATTCCAGGTAACAACTAGAGAAGTATTTAATTTGTAGTCAACAAAGTATAAGAAGACCTTTCCTGAAAATGTTTGCTTAGAGGCCCTATAAGTTAGAATTGATAACATTGGTTGCGTGAGCAATTCAAATCTTCTCTTGAATGTATAATCTTCAGATTTATGCTGCATAGGTAAGTTAAACTTTTTTGAGAGAGAGAGAATGGAAAATACTATATCAACTCAAATACTTAAAGACGGATAAATAAATCAGTAACAACACAGAGGCAAGTCATACACCTCTAAAAGTTCGTGTATATGTATGGGTAATGCCTGTGGGTATGTGGGGAGAGCAGTGACTAAGGAGCTAATTTATAAGTGCATATAAATTATTCATGCATTTGTGAAGTCTTTCTTCAATGTTAATAATATCAGCTTATGTTCCACATATGACATGAGTGGCCATCCATTAGACGATATATAATGGTTAAAGCGGACCAAGCCAATCCAGTCTAGGTTTTACAAATTAGAATAGGGCCCAGGCATAGTGCTCACGCTTTGTCAATGAAAAAGCCAACTCTGTAAAATGATTTTATTTTATTTTATTAATTAATTTATTTTTTGGAGCAGAGTCTCACTTTTTGCCCAGGCTAGAGTTAGTGCCGTGGCATCAGCTAACTCACAGCAACCTCAATCCCTGGGCTCAAGCGATCCTCACTGCCTTAGCCTCCCAAGTAGCTGGGACTACAGGCATGTACCACCGTGCCAGCTAATTTTTGTATACAATATGTTTAGTTGGTCGTTAATTTCTTTCTATTTTTAGTAGAGATGGGGTCTTGCTCTTGCTCAGGCTGGTTTTTGAACTCCTGACCGAGCAATCATCGGACGCCTCAGCCTCCCAGAGTGCTGACATTACAGGCGAGACACCATGCCGCTTATAAAATAATTTTAAAGAGATTTATTCTGAGCCAATTCAGGAGCAAGACCTGCCAAGAGCCTTGAGCTAGTGGACTCAATGTGGCTAGGTTACAGTTTGGTTTAATACATGTTCAGGAGATAGGGTTA